CGGCCGGCCTTTCCACACACATGACCTTTAATGGCCTTCCCAGTCTTAGTCCGTAGGGTTCAATATTGAGTTGGCCTCGCCCTTTCCACGCACCTGACCTTTAATGGCCTCCCAGTCTTAGTCCGTAGGGTTCAATATTGAGTTGGCCTCACCCTTTCCACGCACCTGACCTTTAATGGCCTCCCAGTCTTAGTCCGTAGGGTTCAATGTTGAGTTGGCCCCGCCCTTTCCACACACATGACCTTTAATGGCCCCCCCAGTCTTAGTCCGTAGGGTTCAATGTTGAGTTGGCCTCGCCCCCTTTCCACACACATGACCTTTAATGGCCTCCCAGTCTTAGTCCGTAGGGTTCAATGTTGAGTTGGCCTCGCCCTTTCCACGCACATGACCATTAATGGCCTCCCAGTCTTAGTCCGTAGGGTTCAATGTTGAGTTGGCCTCGCCCTTTCCACACACATGACCTTTAATGGCCCCCCAGTCTTAGTCCGTAGGGTTCAATGTTGAGTTGGCCTCGCCCTTTCTACACACATGACCTTTTATGGCCTCCCAGTCTTAGTCGGTAGGGTTCAATGTTGAGTTGGCCTCGCCCTTTCCACACAAGTGACCTTTAATGGCCTCCCAGTCTTAGTCCGTAGGGTTCAATATTGAGTTGGCCCTGCCCTTAGCAGCTTATAACAGCTTCAACTCTTCTGGGAAGGCCGTCCACAAGGTTTAGGAGGGTGTCTATGGGAAGGTTGGACCATTCTTCCAGAAGCACATTTGTCAGGTCAGGCACTGATGTTAGGGGAGGAGGCCTGGCTCGCAGTCTCCACTCTAATTGATCTGAAAGGTGTTCTATGGGTTGAGGTCAGGACTCTGTGCAGGACAGTCAAGTTCCTCCACTCCAAACTGGCTCCTCCATGTCTTTATGGACCTTGCTGTGTGCACTGGTGTGCAGTCATGTTGGAACAGGAAGGGGCCATCCCCAAACTCTTCCCACAAAGTTGGGCGTGTGAAATTGTCCAAAAATGTCGCCTTAAGAGTTCCCTTCACTGGAACTAGGGGGCCAAGCCCAACCCCTGAAAAACAGCCCCACACCATAATCCCCCCCCCACCAAACTTTACACTTGGCACAATGCAGTAAGGAAAGTACTGTTCTCCTGGCAACAACCAAACCCAGACATGGCCATCAGATTGCCAGACAGAGAAGCGTGATTGGTCACTCTAGAGAGCACGTCTCTACTGCTCTAGAGTTCAGTGGCGGTATGCTTTACACCACGGCATCCAACACTTTGCATTGCATTTGGTGCAGTTGCTCAGCCATGGAAACCCATTCCATGAAGCTCTCTACGCACTGTTGTTGGGCTCATCTGAAGGCCACACCAAGTTTGGAGGCCTTTAGCTATTGACTCTGAAGACAGTTGGTGACTTCTGCGCACGGTGCGCGCTTCAGCATGCCCTGACCCCGCTCTGTCATGTGACGTGGCCTACCACTTGGTGGCTGAGTTGCTGTTATTCCCAGTTGCTTCCACTTTGTTATAATCCCACTAACAGTTGAGCGTGGAATATTTAGTAGCCAGGAAATGTCACGGATGGACACAGGTGGCTACCTATCACGGGACCACGCTTGGAGTCACTGAGCTCCTGAGAGCCACCCATCAGCGACCCAACTGTCTGCAGAGTCAATAGCTAAAGACCTCCAAATTTGGTGTGGCCTTCAGATGAGCATAACAACAGTGCGTAGAGAGCTTCATGGAATGGGTTTCCATGGCCGAGCAGCTGTATCCAAGCCTTACATCACCAAGTGCAATGCAAAGCGTTGGATGCCGTGGTGTAAAGCACGCCACCACTGGACTCTAGAGCAGTGGAGACATGCTCTCTGGAGTGACCAATCACTCTTCTCTGTATGGCAATCCGATGGATGTGTCTGGGTTTTTGGCGGTGGCCAGGAGTCGGTACTTGCCTGACTGCTTTGTGCCAAGTGTAAAGTTTGGTGGAGGGGGGATTTATGGTGTGGGGTTGTATTTCAGGGGTTGGGCTTGGCCCCCTAGTTCCAGTGAAGGGAAACTCTTAAGGCGACATTTTGGACAATTTCATGCTCCAAAACTTTTGTGGGAAGAGTTTGGGGATGGCCCCTTCCTGTTCCAACATGACTGCGCACCAGTGCACAAAGCAAGGTCCATAAAGACATGGAGGAGCCAGTTTGGGGTGGAGGAACTTGACTGGCCTGCACAGAGTCCTGACCTCAACCCATAGAACACCTTTGGGATGAATTAGAGCGGAGACTGTGAGCCAGGCCTCCTCCCCGACATCAGTGCCTGACCTGACAAATGTGCTTCTGGAAGAATGGTCCAACCTTCCCATAGACACCCTCCTAAACCTTGTGGACGGCCTTCCCAGAAGAGATGAAGCTGTTATAGCTGCAAAGGGCGGGGCCAACTCAATATTGAACCCTACGGACTAAGACTGGGGGGGCCATTAAAGTTCATGTGTGTGGAAAGGCCGGCCGACCAATACTTTTCATAATCATAAACTTTTCATATATAGTGTATTTTAAGATTCCAGTATTAGTTGAGGGCAGGATAGGCTTCCCTGAAGAGATAGGTTTTCAGAGATCGCCTAAAAGTGAGCAGAGTAGGCGATAGATAAATTGGGGTAGAGAGTTCCAGAGGATGGAGGAGGCTCTGGAGAAGTCCTGGAGACGAGCATGGGGGAGGAGGAGACAAGGGAGCTAGAGAGTAGGAGGTCTTGCGAGGAGCGGAGAGGACGGTTTGGGTGATGTTTAGAGACATGATAGGTGATGTAATTTGGGGCAGAGTTATAAATGGCTTTATACGTTATTGTTAATGTTTTGAATTTTTTGGGCAATGGGAAGCCAGTGGAGGGATTGGCAGAGAGGGGTGGAGGACACTGAGTGGAGGCCAGTGAAGGGATTGGCAGAGAGGCGTGGAGGACACTGAGTGGAGGCCGGTGGAGGGATTGGCAGAGAGGTGTGGAGGACACTGAGTAGAGGCCAGTGGAGGGATTGGCAGAGAGGGGTGGAGGACACTGAGTGGAGGTCAGTGGAGGAATTGGCAGAGAGGAGTGGAAGACACTGTGTGGAGGCCAGTGGAGGGATTGGCAGAGAGGGGTGGAGGACACTGAGTGGAGGCCAGTGGAGGGATTGGCAGAGTGGCGTGGAGGACACTGAGTGGAGGTCAGTGGAGGGATTGGCAGCAGAGAGGGGTGGAAGACACTGAGTGGAGGCCAGTGGAGGGATTGGCAGAGAGGGGTGGAGGACACTGAGTGGAGGCCAGTGGAGGGATTGGCAGAGAGGCATGGAGGTCACTGAGTGGAGGCCAGTGGAGGGATTGGCAGAGAGGAGTGGAAGACACTGAGTGGAGGCCAGTGGAGGGATTGGCAGAGAGGCGTGGAGGACACTGAGTGGAGGCCAGTGGAGGAATTGGCAGAGAGGGTGTGGAGGACACTGAGTGGAGGCCAGTGGAGGGATTGGCAGAGAGGGGTGGAGGACACTGAGTGGAGGCCAGTGGAGGGATTGGCAGAGAGGCGTGGAAGACACTGAGTGGAGGTCAGTGGAGGGATTGGCAGAGAGGAGTGGAAGACACTGAGTGGAGGCCAGTGGAGGGATTGGCAGAGAGGGGTGGAGGGCACTGAGTGGAGGCCAGTGGAGGGATTGGCAGAGAGGAGTGGAAGACACTGAGTGGAGGTCAGTGGAGGGATTGGCAGAGAGGGGTGGTGGACACTGAGTGGAGGCCATGTGGAGGGATTGGCAGAGAGGGATGGAGGACACTGAGTGGAGGCCAGTGGAGGGATTGGCAGAGAGGGGTGGAGGGCACTGAGTGGAGGACAGTGGAGGGATTGGCAGAGAGGAGTGGAAGACACTGAGTGGAGGTCAGTGGAGGGATTGGCAGAGAGGGGTGGTGGACACTGAGTGGAGGCCAGTGGAGGGATTGGCAGAGAGGGATGGAGGACACTGAGTGGAGGCCAGTGGAGGGATTGGCAGAGAGGGGTGGAGGGCACTGAGTGGAGGACAGTGGAGGGATTGGCAGAGAGGAGTGGAAGACACTGAGTGGAGGTCAGTGGAGGGATTGGCAGAGAGGGGTGGTGGACACTGAGTGGAGGCCAGTGGAGGGATTGGCAGAGAGGGATGGAGGACACTGAGTGGAGGCCAGTGGAGGGATTGGCAGAGAGGGGTGGAGGGCACTGAGTGGAGGACAGTGGAGGGATTGGCAGAGAGGGGTGGCAGATACAGAACTGTTATTAAGGTGGATGAGTCTGGCAGCAGCATTCATGATAGACTGAAGAGGGGATAGCCTGCGATGAGGTCGGCCAATGAGGAGGGAGTTACAATAGTCAAGGCGAGATATAACAAGGGAGTGAATAAGTTGTTGAGTAGTTTCCGAGGTTAGGAACGGGCATATCTTGGAGATGTTGTGGAGGTGAAGTCTACAAGATTTGGACAGTGATTGTATTTGGGGCTGAAAGGACAGATGGGAGTCTAGGATTACACCTAGTACCCTGGCATGAGGGGAGGGACTGATGATTGTGTTATTGGTCTTAATGGAGAAGTTGGGGGGAGGGGGCACGGGCTGGAGGGAATACTAAGAGCTCAGTTTTGGACATTATCACTTTAAAAAAAAAAAATTGAATGGAGTTGGTGTTTGATTGGTATAATTTGGTAAAATGTTGAACAGTCCCATTTATGATAAAGATATGTAGATTATAGAACCTTTCTTTATTTCATGGTCATGTGTGGTTCAGTTTTAGGGGAGCAATTTGCAACATGTGGAAATATAGAACATGTATCCGGTGTTGAGGGAGAAGAGGTTTGTCCTAGCTGTGGATCCCATCGATATCAAAGACATCTCCTGGACAATTACCAATGACAATCATCAATTAGCTACAACAATTCCAGGTGAACCCATTGATATTTGGGATGATAAGTATAAAGGACGGGTTGAACGCCACAGCAAATGGATCATCCTTAATTATAGATAAAACTGACCAGAGAAGACCCAAAGGAAATATACAGCAAGTATACAAAGACATGGATCGGGGGTGTGTGCAATCAGGTCTACAACCTCACAGTGTACAGTAAGTATTTATACCGATTAATCTATTTATTGGGAGGAGTCATAGCATGTGAATACTTACACGTTACTTTATATGTGGAAATTGAATGATCATGAAAATAAGGCAGTTTCCAGCAATGGCACTACAATGCCTTGAAAAAGTATTCATACCCATTGAAATTTTCCACATCTTGTCATGTTACAACTAAAACCGCCAATGTATTTTATTGGGATTTGATGTGATAATCGTAAAGTGGAAGGAAAATGATAAATGGCTTTCAACATTTTTTTACAAATAAATATCTAGGAAGTGTGGCGGCATTTGTATTCGGCCCCCCGGAGTCAATACTTTGTAGGACCACCTTTCGTTGCAATTTCAGCTGCAAGTCTTTTTGGGGATGTCTCTTTGCCACATCTAGAGAGGGACATTTCTGCCCATTCTTCTTTGCAGAATTGCTCAGGCTCTGTCAGATTGGATGGAGGGTGTCTGTGAACAACAATTTTCAAGTCTTGCCACAGATTCTCCATTGGATTTAGGTCTGGACTGTGACTGGACCATTCTAACACATGAAGATGCTTTGATGCAAACCATTCCATTGTAGCTCTGGCTGGATGTTTTTTGGGTCATTGTCCTGCTGGAAGGGGAAACCTCTGCCCCAGACTCAAGTCTTTTGCAGACTCTAACAGGCTTTTCTTCTAAGATTGCCTGTATTTGGCTCCATCCATCTTCCCATCCCAAAGCATCCCCACAACATGATGCTGCCACCACCATGTTTCATGGTGGGGATGGTGTTCAGGGTGATGTGCGTTTTTGCTTTTAGACAAAAAAAGTTGAATTTTGGTCTCCTCTGACCAGAGCCCCTTCTTCCACATGATTGCTGTGTCCCCACATGGCTTCTCGCAAACTGCAAACAGGACTTCTTAAGGCTTTCTTCCAACAATGGCTTTCTTCTTGCCACACTTCCATAAAGGCCAGATTTGTTGAGTGCACGACTAATAGTTGTCCTGTGGATAGATTCTCCCACCTGAGCTGTGGATCTCTGCAGCTCCTCCAGAGTTTCCATGGGCCTCTTGGCTGCTTCTCTGATTAATGCTCTCCTTGCCCGTCCTGTCAGTTTAGGTGGACGGCCATGTCTTGGTAGGTTTGTAGTTGTGCCATACTCTTTCCATTTTCTGATGATGGATTGAACAGTGCTCCGTGAGATGTTCCAAGCTTGGGATATTTTTTTATAACCTAACCCTGCTTTAAACTTCTCCACATCTTTATCCCTGACCTGCTTAGTGTATTCCTTGGCCTTCATGATGCTGTTTGCTGACTAATATTCTGTAACAAACCTCTGAGGGCTTCACAGAACAGCTGTATTTATACTGAAATTACATTACACACTGGGGGACTCTATTTACTAACTAGGTGACTTCTGAAGGCAGTTGGTTCCACTACATTTTAGTTAGGGGTATCAGAGTAAAGGGAGATGAATACAAATTCACGCCACGCTCTTGACAAAAATTTTGAAAACCATTTTCCTTCCACTTCACAATATATGTGCCACTTTGTGTTGGTTTATCACATAAAAAAAGTACTCCTCTCCCCTCGTTGGGTTTCTCTCCCTATCACTGCTCCTAATCTCTCCCCAACCATAGAGACTCTGTCCTTGACCTACTCTCACACTGCAGGCAGAACAAATGACATAGAATCTGCTAATCTGGGCACTCCTGTGTCAAGATGTCCGCCAAAATCTCATAGGATTTCGGCATCCAAATAAAAAGATGCCCAGCCTCCCCAAGATGGCCACACAGAGCCCATAATAGGGAGCCAATTAGGCCTAAATGGTCTCTCTAATTATTCTGTACACAGCGCTGTCTCCACCACCCCATCTAAAATGGTATTATTGCCCTTAAAAACATCAACCACTAACACCAAAATACTGTACATCTAAACAAAAGTCCCATCCAAAATTAAGTGTTCCTTCTTTTATAAACAGTTCACCAGTGCACTCCTAATCCATATGTTCTTCTTTGTGCTTCACGCAAACAAACTTTCTGGGCTCCCCCTGCACTTCCACACTCACCAGAAAATCATTGACCCAGTGCAATGAGTCACACACATTTGTGGATCTGGCCCTTGCGGGGTTTTCTGATGGTTATCGGACTTTGTACTCATTCACCATTGTCCTCCAACACTTTTCCACCAGTCCCTCCTTGGGTTTTCTGATGGTTATCGGACTTTGTACTCATTCACCATTGTCCTCCAACCTTTTCCACCAGTCCCTCCTTGGGTTTCTGATGGTTATCCGCCTTTATACTCATTCACCATTGTCCTCCAACACTTTTCCACCAGTCCCTCCTTGGGTTTTCTGATGGTTATCCGCCTTTGTACTCATTCACCATTGTCCTCCAACACTTTTCCACCAGTCCCTCCTTGGGTTTTCTGATGGTTATCCGCCTTTGTACTCATTCACCGTTGTCCCTCCAACACTTTTCCACCAGTCCCTCCCAGGATTTTTTATGGTTATCCGCCTTTGTACTCATTCACCGTTGTCCTCCAACACTTTTCCACCAGTCCCACCCGAGGTTTTCTGATGGTTACCTGCCTTTGTACTCATTCACCGTTGTCCTCCAACACTTTTCCACCAGTCCCCACCCAGGGTTTTCTGATGGTTACCCGTCTTTGTACTCATTCACCGTTGTCCTCCAACACTTTTCCACCAGTCCCTCCCGGGGTTTTCTGATGGTTATCCGCCTTTGTACTCATTCACCGTTGTCCTCCAACACTTTTCCACCAGTCCCACCCGGGGGTTTTCTGATGGTTACCCGCCTTTGTACTCATTCACCGTTGTCCTCCAACACTTTTCCACCAGTCCCTCCCGGGGTTTTCTGATGGTTACCCGCCTTTGTACTCATTCACCGTTGTCCTCCAACACTTTTCCACCAGTCCCTCCCGGGGTTTTCTGATGGTTATCCGCCTTTGTACTCATTCACCGTTGTCCTCCAACACTTTTCCACCAGTCCCTCCTTGGGTTTTCTGATGGTTATCCGCCTTTGTACTCATTCACCGTTGTCCTCCAACACTTTTCCACCAGTTCCTCCCGGGGTTTTCTGATGGTTATCCGCCTTTGTACTCATTCACCGTTGTCCTCCAACACTTTTCCACCAGTCCCTCCCGGGGTTTTCTGATGGTTATTCGCCTTTGTACTCATTCACCGTTGTCCTCCAACACTTTTCCACCAGTCCCTCCCAGGGTTTCTGATGGTTATCCGCCTTTGTACTCATTCACCGTTGTCCTCCAACACTTTTCCACCAGTCCAGTAAATACAGTCCTCCTGGGAACATGTACCTCTCAAACAGATAAAAGGGCAACAAAAGGGGGACCACCATAGTGTTTGCTTACATGTCCTCACTTCTGGCTGACTGCTCGCTTTACCAATCTATACCAATAACTGGTGCTATATAAATCCTGTATAATAATATAATAATAATAACTCTGTAGAAAAGCCTCCCTAAGTAATCCATCCTATACAGTATCTGACAGAAGTGAGTCCACCCCTCATATTTTTGTAAATCTTTTATTCTATCTTTTCGTATGGTCTGAGCACTAGACAGGCTGACCCCCCCCCCCCCCCCCCCCTCCTTCAACCTCTGCAGCAATGCTGGCAGCACTCATATGTCTATTTCCCAAAGACAACCTCTGGATATGATGCTGAGCACGTGCACTCAACTTCGACATTGGCGAGGCCTGTTCTGAGTGGAACCTGCCCTGTTAAACCGCCGTATGGTCTTGGCCTCCGTGCTGCAGCTCAGTCTCAGGGTCTTGGCAATCTTCTTATAATCTAAGCCATCTTTATGTAGAGCAACAATTCTTTTTTTGCAGATCCTCAGAGAGTTCTTTGCCATGAGGTGCCATGTTGAACTTCCAGTGACCAGTATGAGAGAGTGAGAGCGATAAAACGAAATGTAACCCACCCGCTCCCCATTCACACCTGAGACCTTGTAACACTAACGAGTCACATGACATCGGGGAAGGAAAATGGCTAAATGGGCCCAATTTGGACCTTGTCACTTAGGGGTGGACTCACTTTTGTTGTCAGCGGTTTAGACATTAATGGCTGTGTGTTGAGTGA